ATATATAGATATCTATATATATATAATATATATATATATATATATATATATATATATGTATATATATGTATATGTATATGTTCTGACTTCTATATAAAAACTTCTATATAAACTGATAAAGACATGATAAAAAAAGCTGCAACCACAGAGGGAAAATTAAAAGCACAGAGGGAATCTTCTCAGTTGGAGCCCAGTTCATTTATAGAAAGTCACTGCTGGCGACATCAATGAAGACTGAGAGCTGGGAAAAAATGGAAGATAATGGATAAGACTGTGGGACGCAAGAGATTCCCATCTTTCCCCCCCTTATTAGGTTCTAAATTTACATGTTGATTATGTTTTAACTTTTATTCCATTTTAATGCCGTGAATCATGAAGCATTCAGCTGCATATGCAGGACACAATTTCAATTCAATCTATATTATCCTGTCTGAAATGTTGGTTTAGAACAGAAGAAGACCAAAGTTATCTATATTCTTCCTAATTAAAAACATTTCGCAAAAATAAAGAAGATCCCTTATTTTCAGTGCACTGAACCTTTTTTTTTTCACTGCAGTGTTTTTTTTTTTGTAAAAACTTGCACTGACTATTGGAAGCTACAGTATAGTGTTTGCTGCCTACTGTGACACTTTCAACTCAAACTGATATCGCTACAATTTGGAAAAAGCTGAATTTTAATTTGCATGGTTAAAAATGACAAGCATTTCTTTGAAGAGGGATGTAATACTTCATAGCCTATATATATTTTTTTATGAATAGTTTTACTGTAATCCGTGAAAAGAGGTTGAAATATATGGCTTGTATTTGTCTTATTCATTTGTTTTTGTTGTTTTTTTTCCCCCAGTGGATTTGATTAACTCATTTAAAATGTTTTGTTTAGACTTTGCTAACCTTATTTGCAGATTTTATAGCAACATCCAAAGATAACGTACATCCAACATTCAAAATATAGTCAGAAGTCTTTTTATTTGAAGCCTAAGAGAAAAAATTAGTATTGAATCTTTTTGGGGTTCTATTCTTTCTTTTGAAATGTGATGTGAGTTCAGAGGAGATACTGAATACACAAAACTTTACTTCCAAAAGATACGAGGTTGAGTAAATATCCTTTCTAGATCTGAAATAGCTCTGAAAAGTTTGTATTCAACTCTCTTTCAATGCTACCAGAAAATAAACCAATTGCTTTTGCAAGTTGCCTTATTAGTAAACACACCATCTGTGTGTAATGTATAACCAGTATAAGCCCAGCTGTTCTCAGCGATTCATTAGAGAACATCAGTGACCAAGGAGCGTTGTGAATTCAATAAACACAGCAGGCAGGTCATGGAGAAAAGTGTGGAGAAGTTTGCAAATGGCTTTGAAGTCCTCCAAACCATTTTAACATCTCACATAGCACATCGTATTCCCTCATCCCAAAAAAAAAAAAGACTAATAAAAACTGCAAATGTACCACGAGATGACTGCCTACTGGTATGGATAGGTTTAGGAAGAAAAACATTTATAAGAAAAGCAGTGAAGAGCCCATGCGAACCGTGGAGATGCATAGAGCAGCATATTCAGCTTGCCCTCTAAGAATTTGGTCTTTACAGAAAAATGGTTAAGAGGACTTCCATTTAAAGTAATCCTCTGCAAAATGTAAGTGTGTAAAGTTTATTTAACAAGCGCCTTTCGCAGACAAAACCAACAAAAATGAAACCAACATTAGAACTATTATAATTTGTAAAAAAAAAAAATAAAATTATATATATAATTAGAACAGCTTTTGTTTTGGTCAGATCAGGGACCATGACAAGAGAAAATTTTTGGTTTACAAAGCATTAAACATACATGCTGAACTAACAAGGAATGGGTTATGATCTAGTCAAATTCCAGATGTAAATCTGAGACTCTTCCCTGAATCTTTACCCATCTCATTAAACCTGAGCAGGTTTGAAAAAGAAAACTGGGAAAATATTTCAGCTTTTAATTTGAAAGGGCAATAAAAATGCATGGCACATTTTTCAACTCTTCTGAGCGCATCATTCTCATTTCACACAATCACCTCTCTTCAGTTCATTTGAAAATACCTTGAAATGTTTCACTTTTGCACAAAACTTACAAAACTGCTCCTTGTAAGCACGTTTTTCCCCAAAATGTCTGCTATTTTATTTATATTTGGTTGTTTATCTGCTTTTTTCTTGAGGACAGTCGAAAACATTTATAAAGGGCTTATAACTTAATCAGCTGCAGATACATACACTCAAATACTATACTTATTATGATTTAATGAATTAGAATATGTGCTTCCATAAGGCTCGAGTGTCAGATTCAGTGTTTTGTAAACAACCTTAACAAGGGTAATACATATTTCATTAAAACCATATTTATATATTAAAATATTCTACACTTAAATATCATATTTAATTAGCTATAAGAATAAAAAGAAGGTCTAAAAACATCCATCTAAATAAGCTATATGTTTCACTTAGCAAATCCACTGGCTGAAATAAATGAACTTTCTATTTTAAATATCCAACACAACCAAATATACACAGAAAGCAGGAACAAGACTATTTTTAAAGATTTTATTTACATTTACAGTAGCAGCACCAGGCTTTTTTTAACATAATAAATACCATGGTAAGATCCATGTGGTTTTGCAGAATAATGTGATATCGGTAACAAAATAAAGAACTTGAAACAAATCATTCAGTTGCACTGATGCAATGTAATTGCTGCATGAAGACATTCTGCCTATGAATTCAGCAACATTACACAGGTATATTCTATATAGCTGCCTCTTAGAACATCCTCCCTGACAAAAAGAAGAGTAATGGTCCTAGTATATCAACCATCATTTACTGCAATACAGTCAGCTGCAATGTTTCATAATAAAACATTTGTCTAATAGGCATGCAGTAAAATCTTCTCCATATGTGCTGAATAGTGCAAGATTTTCCAATTGGACTTAAAAAAAAAAAAAGTGTTACAAGATTTGGGGAAAATTATCTATGATGAGCACAGCTCACATTCTTAAAAATGTAACCTGAACTGATAGCATTTAAGTCCAACTTTAGACATCTAAAGATTTTTCTGTAGAAACAGTGCAGACCTAAAGCTTCCGTTTGCTCTTTCATATCTTTCTCAGCACAAAATGTGCCGCTAACCCTAAGCCAGTTAAGCCCTCTTCTTTGCTATGTGCCGGCCGACGTGCACCGGGCTTCAGGTTAGGCGGGCTTTGCTCCAGACTGTGCCAAAGGTCGAAGACCCGCTCTGACACGAAGCGCTGCGCCTGAGCAGCCTGTCCTCCCCACACGGCCCGAGTAAAGGGCAGCTTGGATGGCGAGGGGACAGCTCACGTTCACTCGTCGGGATCAGAAGAGAAGTTCATCGTTCAACAAACTGCAGGTTGATGGCATTTTCAGGAACCAGGAGAGTCCGAGTCATCGGCTTCACAGAAACACCCTCAGGATCCGGTTTCACCTCAAACTCGGTCAGGATCTAAAGGGAGCAGGAACAGAATATGCGGATTAGGAACAGAGTGACTCGAAATAAGTACAGAAACAAGCAAGCAAGTCCTGGGCAGTCACGGGGAAATCCCTGGAATATATCCAGTTCATTCATTAGAAAGGAGATTTGTCTAATTACTTAAATCCTCTAATTGTAGTTAATTTTTTATTATTTTCTGTCAAACAGAGTTAACACAGGTCAACAAATAGGAAAAAATCATAAAAAAAAAAAAAAAAACTTAATTAGGCAACCAGAGAAAAATGGTCCACTAAAAACTCAGAAATAAACCTAGCAGAAAAAAGCTGATAATGAACTATTACAAAACTTTAGAATATTGCAACACCTACTGCTGCTGAAGATAAGCCAGGGCATCGATTTTAGACCTGGGGAGATATGAACCATTTTCCTGGTCCACGGTTTCATGATTTAGTTCTCAGTTCCCAATCTTTAACCTTTAAAATCTGGGATCAAATAAACTGACTGTCTACCTAAAGTTGGGGGTAATAAAAAAAAAGAAAAAACTGACTCCATGACAGCAATGGACTCTGGTCCCACAGTGACACCATGATATAAAGTAGTCTATTACCCTGCACGGATATGGTTGTATATGTAGAGGTTGTTTTATTATGACACGGATATAAAATATTGCTGTATATTTTTACTGACTATTGGTTATTTTGAACAAAACCTGCCAATAAACTTTGCTGCCTCTTGTTATATTATCAGCCCAAATTGATATAGCAACAGAATGGAAAAAAAACTGAATTATAATTTCCATAGGTAAAACATGTATGGAAATTAAAAATGATTAACTTTGGGATTGATCAAATGTATTGGAATTGGATTGTAATAATGAATAGCCTATAGAAAAAAAAAGTTATAATGTTAACTAAAAGTTGCCTTAGAAAGGAGCCCTGAGGTACACCTAATGTAATTTGGTTGGCTCAGATTAACTATTATCAAATTACAGATAAGCATGATTTGAAAAAACTAATTGATGATCTAAAAATCATCTTACAGCCTCTGCTTCAGTGTCTGAACAGCTTTTAGCATAGAAGCTATATAAAGCTTTCCTGTAACATTTATAATAACTTTTCAACAGA